GAGACACACACACACACACACACACACACAGAGAGACACACACACACACACCGAGAGACACACACACACATACACCGAGACACACACACACACACACACACACACAGAGAGACACACAATATGACAACTACATAACTAATAACAGTGATATGAGAACAGGCTGATATTTTTTACCTAAAAGCAGACTTTAGTGCTCAAGCACTCATTCCGACGCGACACGTGTTGCAAGTTCAGCTTGACAGTGAGAAAAATAACAAAACAAGAAGAAACCATTCAGATCACAAAACAATTTTGCATAAAATGAATGGCATAAATAATTATTGATTATCATTAATAGTCATTATTGTTTCAAAGACTAGAAATAAAACCAATATTAGTTGAATGTATTGGTTACTCGAAACTGGAAACAAAAACTTTAAAAAACTCATGCAGATAAAAGCTTTTAACTGATTGTCAGTAGTTTAAATGTCAGTGACATTACTGAGAAACTATTATAGTTTTGATTAATATTTTGAATATATATATATATATATATACACACACACACACACACACACACATTTAAAATTTTTATTTTAAGGCAAGGAACTCATGGAAAAAGCCATTGATTTTTCATGCATTGCTCAATTTTGAGATGTTTTGGTTTTTTCTGTCTATATTTTGAAGGTTTCTTAGAATACAATTTCCCTCATTTATATAACATAACATTATCAAACCTTTAACTCTAATATGACAACAAAATCAAACCAGAATTTTGAAACTGCTTTAATGTTCAGATTCATCGTCTGGTAATGTATGTAAATTAGTGCATGTTTAATTACATGATGCCTAATTTGCATATTTAAATATAACATTTTAGAAAAGTTGTAATACAAAACTATTATCTTAATATACTGTGATTAATCAACTGAGGAAAGTTCTACCATATTCACCCATGGTGTCTTAATTTTGGTTAGTTAGGAACTGACATTTTTAAAATATAGTTTTCTATATATATTTTTGAACTAATTTTGATTTCAGTTTTAGCTATTTTACAAGTTAAACTACATAAAAATGAGGAATGCTGCCTTGGCAACTAGCTGAAATAAATTGGCTATATTCATGGCAAAAGCAAAGCAAAAACAACTTATAATTGCAATATCTTTCTGATACATTGTTTACAATAATTTAACAATTTTGTCTTAAAAAATTATTCAGATGAAATAAAATGAGTTTAAGTTTTTTTATATTTTATTTCATTTCAGTTAAAGTTTATTTTGATTGATTAAAGTTTATTTAGATTAAGCCATTAGACTTTTAGGCCTGGTTTCACAGACAGGGCTTAGACTAAACCAGGATTAGGCCATAGCTCAATTAGGACATTTAGGTAATTTTTATAAACGTGCCTTAGGAAAAAAACATTACTGGTGTCCCTCTTGAGACAAAACAATGTCACTGATATATTTTAAGATCAATCAGTGTAAGTTTCTTTCAGCTGAAACAGCTCAGACTTACATTTAAGTCTGGAACTAGGCTTAAAGGGATAGTTCACCCAAAAATGAAAATGTGATGTTTATCTGCTTACCCCCAGGGCATCCAAGATGTAGGTGACTTTGTTTCTTCAGTAGAACACAAACGAAGATTTTTAACTCCAGCCGTTGCAGTCTATCAGTCGTATAATGCATGGCAATGGTAACAAAATCTATGAGAGTAAAAAAAACATGCACAGACAAATCCAAATTAAACCCGGCGGCTCGTGACGACACATTGATGTCCTAAGACACGAAACGATCGGTTTGTGATCGGATGCTGTGCGCGCGCTCAAGGAAGTTGGACATAGTGTTGTATTAGAGGTAAAAATTATATAAATACTGTTCGGTTTCTGGCACAAACCGATCGTTTCGTGTCTTAGGACATCAGTGTGTCGTCACGAGCCGCAGGGTTTCATTTGGATTTGTCTGTGCATGTTTTTTTTTACTCTCATAGATTTTGTTACCATTGCCATGCATTATACGACTGACAGACTGCAACGGCTGGAATTAAAAATCATCATATGTGTTCTACTGAAGAAACAAAGTCACCTACATCTTGGATGCCCTGGGGGTAAGCAGATAAACATCACATTTTCATTTTTGGGTGAACTATCCCTTTAAGCCCTGTCTGTGAAACCAGGGGTTAAACAGGTAGCCAGTGGACACAGACTAGTCTCATCTGTCTCATAGAATAGTTGGACTGAAATGCTACAGCTCAATTTGCACATTTGTTAATGTTATTATTATCATGTAGTTGCACTCAAGTTGCTACGTTACTGTACTACTGTTTTGCACACAAGTCAATATTGCACACTTGCACATACAGATGTACAGTCTATATTTCTACTTCTGCAGCATAGTTTTACTTTTATTATGTTTGTTTGTGTGTGTGTGTGTGTGTGTGTGTGTGTGTGTTTGAGTGTGTGTGTGTGTGAAACCTGTCTCTGTGCAGAACACGTTCGTCTCTTCCGGAGAATCATCTTCATCACTCGGCTCGTCTTCAGCACTGTCGGGTCTACTGGAACATAATGAGACAGCTGTGAATTCACTGCAGTTAATATTAATATTAACTAGATTGAAAAGTTTGTAGACAAACTTTAAGTTGCTTGAAAAAGCCTAGCCAGAAAGTTTTTTTTTTAAGTTTGCAGTCTGAAGGTCTTCCGTTCGAAGTAGTTTGAAATTTTAAATATTTTTAAAGATTAAAGTTTGAATGTTTTCAAGGCAATACAGTCTATCAGAAAAACAGATAGGTATAAAACATAGGGTAAAAAGCTAGGGTACCTGGAGTGGTTGCTAGGGTGTTTCTAGCATGACTAGCATGTTGATAATATGTTTCTAGCATGATTACCATGTTACTAGCATGTTTGTAGCATGATTAGCATGTTGCTAGGATGTTGCTAGCACCATAGACATAATAAATACCTAGACGCCTCATTGGCCGCTCGACCGCATGTCAATGTGGCCGCCATATTGGTGAAGGCAACTGTCATATCGGGACAGGCGAAAACATACCTGACTCGTCGGCAGCTTGGCCTCAATGATGGTAAATTATTAAATTATTAGTGCTTAAAGATGTATTATTTAGATTTTCTTCCAGTATTTCAAAGGGAATGAGCTGTGTTCTGACCTGAAGCACAAGAAAAGCTCAAATGTTGGGGTTGAAGACAGAGAAAGCAATGAAACAACTTAATTTAATTTAATGTACATTCAAATGACAAAACATGTATATGTCACAGTTATACTACATTAACATTAGAATTGTAAACCGAAAAAATCAATCAAATCAACAAGTGAGACAAGTGTGAGTTTTCACAATTTCTTACGAAAATTTATAATTTTCCAAACCTAACTAAATAACTGGAGGCAGAGTTATTTTTAACTCCATGTAGATCACAAACCTCTGAAATCGGTTGATAAATGTAAACGTTATCGTGTTTTTATCCAGAAAAAAACGCAGCTCCCCCGTTTATGCCTTCACAAACATGGCGGACGCGTTGACGTATCGCAGTAAAGGCTCAAAGCGGCCAATGAGGCGTCTAGGTATTTATTATGTCTATGGCTAGCACGATTAGCATGTTACTTGCATGTTTGTAGCATGATTAGCAAGTTACTAGCAGGTTTCTAGCACGATTAGCATGTTGCTAGCATTATTAATATGTTACTAACATGTTGTTAACATGATTAGCATGATACTAGCATGTTTCTAGCACGATTAACATGTTGCTAGCAAGATTAGCATGTTACTAGCATGTTTGTAGCATGGTTAGCATGTTACTAACATGTTAACATGATTAGCATGTTACTAGCATGTTGTTAGCATGATTAACAAGTTACTAGCAGGTTTCTAGCACGATTAGCATGTTGCTAGCATGATTAGCATGTTACTAACCTGTTGTTAACATGATTAGCATGTTACTAGCATGTTTGTAGCATGATTAACAAGTTACTAGCAGGTTTCTAGCACAATTAGCCTGTTGCTAGCATGATTAGCATGTTACTAGCATCTTGTTAGCATGATTAGCATGTTATTAGCATGTATCTAGCATGATTAGCATGCTGCTAGTATGTTTTATCCAAAGTGACTTACAAATCCAAAGCGACTTACAAATGAGGACAATGGAAGCAATCAAAATCAACAAAAGAGCAATGATATGCAAGTATTATAACAAGTCTCGGTTAGCTTAACGCAGTACACGTAGCAAGGTTTTTTTTTTTAATTATATAATAAATAAAAAGAAAACAGATAGAATAGAAAAGAATTGAGCAAGCTAATTTTAGAGGCCTTTTTTGCTTTTTGTTAATTGTATAATAAATAAAAAGAAAACAAATTGATAGAATACAAAAAGATTAGAGAAGCTAGTGATAGTTTTTTATTTTTTATTTTTTAAAGAAAACAAGCAGTAAATGAATAGAGCGCAAATCTAAAAGGGACAGCTTTTTTTTTTTTTTTTTTAAGAATAGAATTAGAATAGAGAGTGCTAGATTTAGTTAATTTAACATTGTAATGAAAAAAAAAATCCAGCTAAAAACCAGTTAAAACTAGCTAAGAACCAGCTGAACCAGTCAAAAACCAGCTAAAACCAGCCTAGTACCAATAATAATAATAATAATTACAGCAGATGATATCTGAGCCCTGACCTTCGTGGACGGTGAGAAAGCGTCCTGTAGATGTCTCAGTGAGCGTGATTTGACCAAGTACAACATGTTCCTGGAACATCATTCCAATCAACCAATCAGAATTGAGGGATAACTTTTCAGGAAATGTCAGTTTTAGGCTTACAGTCAGGAATAGGCGCTTCTACACCTTGTTAATCAGCTATCATTTCCCTCTGATTTTAGAAGTAAATTATGGGTAGGGTTAGGTTTAGGGGTAGGGATTGGGTTAAGTCTGTATTTTTTGACAGTAATGTTGGTCCAGGATCAACAAAAGATGTTGATCCAGGAACATGTCTTACTTGGCAAAATCACGGCGACCAGATGTCTCTGAGGGTGTGTCCTGCAGCGTCACACATCAAACACAGGTGAGATCTGTGAGAACATCATCGTTACACTCACCTGCTCCTCCATCATCAGCCCACGCGTCTGAACCTGCTGAGACACGCTATTTCAGGCTCATTTCTAATGCAAGAGACTACAGACAAAAACTGTAGTTAAAAAGTTTCATTCACTGATCCATTTCGGTCCATTTAGTGTCATAACGTCTTTTCTTTCAGACTAGAGGAAAGAAAACATCAGAATACACATTTAAGTGTTTATTTTATTGCACTTGATCGGTTAGCTTCTGTACACTGTAAAACATTACCGTGAATTTAACGGTAAAAGACTGTAAAAATGCTACAGTAAAAACCTGTTAAATGGTTAATGGTAAATTCCCCTACTATACACGGTGAAAAACTGTATTGGACATTACATGTAATTTTACGGTAGTATACTGTTTTTGGAAGTGAAAAAGACCGTATAATTTACAGGGAATAACCGTAAATTGACATTCCCAGAATTCCCTGCATTACATTTCAAATGTGATGTTTTTTTGAATGCTTAGACTATTTACACTGCACACGTCTGCGGTGCAGTGCGGCTCTGATACGGTCACTGAAGCTGATTGCGGCCACTCAATGCTTGTGTTTATTCCAGAATCCAGCCGCGGGACGCACGTTTCTGAAGCGGCTCTCTGTGCTGCTTCTGTAAAGAACTAAAGATACACGCATACGCCTCCTTCGAATAAATATAGCCAAAATCCGTCAAAATCCCACCAAAATCCGTTGCCATGACTTATCGCTAGAGGCAAAAGGTTACATTTTAGTTGCATAACATTGGTTAATGGAAACGTCGTCATTTCGCAATACTTTTTTATCGACATTTATAAAATATCGCCAAAGTTTTGCGCAAATCTGTAATGGAAACGCGCCTAGAGTAGATGTCAGACTTTAAGGGCACACACTGTTTTTCATGCATCTGTCAGGTTTGAGATTTGGGGCTTTTTGGCTTTTCATAGTGCAAGTGTTTTTTCAGACTAATGGAAAGAAAACATCCAAAAGACACTGTTAAGTGTTTATTTTATAGCACTTTATCTATTTGTGTCAATAGATTTCAATTACAATACATGTTTTTAAAAGCGGTTTTCTCAAAGCGAGTTTTTTCTCCTACACTGAGCCATGAATCTCCTCTTCAGCAGCACTTACACACACCACACGTTACAGTTTTATTCCTGTCTGTATCCTGAAGGTTTTTACAGAGGGATTTGTTCATATGTAATTTGCTTGATTATATACATTTTACTCCCCAATAATTGAAACAGTATAAAATAAAAAAGAAAATATGATCATATTACCCCAATTTTACAGTCTCTGCACTGGCTACCTATTAAGTTCCGTATCAGTTACAAAATATTATTACTTGCCTATAAGGCCCTTAATGGGTTAGCTCCTGCGTACCTTACTAGTCTTCTACCACGCTACAATCCATCATGCTCCCTAAGGTCGCAAAACTCTGGACTTTTGGTAGTACCTAGGATAGCAAAGTCCACTAAAGGAGGTAGAGCTTTTTCGCATTTGGCTCCCAAACTCTGGAATAGCCTTCCTGATAACGTTCGGGGTTCAGAGACACTCTCTCTGTTTAAATCTAGATTAAAGACACATCTCTTTGGCCAAGCATTCAAATAATGCATATCATAATCTTGTACTGCAGTTCTATCTGATCAAATGCACATCATTATTATTCTTTAGTTTGGGTTAAACAAATCAATTTTGCTTGGTTGGAACAGCAGTTACGCTAATTATGTCTCTATTTGTTTCTGTGTTTGACATCCCGTGGTAACTAGGATTTACACAAGTTTCAGTCTGGATCCAGAACACCTGAGAAGAGATGATGCCAACCCCTCAGAGGACCTCAGATGATGCCAACCCTGAAACAACATATAAAACTACCATATTTTGCTATAAGTTTGATTGCATCATATAATAATTGCTGTTAATAGTGTTCATCGTCTGTTTGATTACGTCTTAAATTGATTTTTCCGTACATTTCTGCCATATGTACATTAACTGACAGTCACCACTGATAAGTTGTAGAAACTTAATTTGCTGTAAAGTTGCTTTGCAATGATTTGTATCGCGAAAAGCGCTATACAAATAAACTTGAATTGAATTGAATGTCAGCTGAAAGCAGGCGGTTCCACAATCACACGGGTGAGAACAAACAACACCTTTATGTTATCAGTGATGATTGACAATGAAGGGAGGCGTATCAGAGGAGAATTACAGACAGTAAGTTCATCTGCATGAGCCATTCTGTCTTTCAATCATATTCGAGAACAGATTAAGGCCTGCTGCCAAATGTGAATCCACCAGTGAAGCGATTAGCACCGAAGATCCCAGATGCTTTCTCCTTACTCTGATTAAAACCTGCATTTAGAAGGCCTGCTATAGCAGGTTGGTTGGGAGAACTACCAACACCAAACTTAAATGCCGTTGCAGAAGTGCTTTTGCTTTTCATATTTGGGTTTGACATCTGGCAGGCGACACAATGGCTAGACATGGCTTTATTTTTCACCAGGCAGACTTCACAGTCCCAATCCCCACCTTTTTTGGCAAAACCTATAAACGATGATGAGACAGGTGCATCGGCTTTAGGAGGCACAACTGAGGAGGAAAGCAAATGAGATGTTAATAATGTTAATAATGGGAGTAACTTTTGTTAAACCGTAAACAATCAGCACAGGTTCACACTGAACACAATAATAACCATTTTCAAAAACTGGGTATGAAGTGACATTATTCAACTTACCCTTAAACCATCGAATTTTAAACATAAAATATTTTGCAGTTGAAAACTGTAATGTTATAGACATTGTAATGTATCCCTATGTGTTATTGCAATACTCATCCTATTGCAAAATGCTTTAAATTGCAATAATATTGTCGCTGAAGTAGCATGATAACATCAAATCGGTGATTCCCACTTCTAATATTAGTTAAGTATACAGTATATTAAGTATACATTAAGTACCAAACCTAGTCTTATGTAGATGAGATATGGGAATAGAAAGTTTAATAAAGTCTTCTCACCTTCTCCAGATTTGATCTTGATCTCCGTCTCTTTGGTAACAACCAGCAAACGCTCCTGCATTTCAGAAAGCAGCAGCTCCACATTGCAAAAAAATGCTTTTGGATTTTCAGAAATGTTGGAAAGATCTTCAAATTCTTCAGACATGCATTCTGGGTAATTCTACACACAGAATACTAATAATGTACACCGAAGAAAATAAATATTATGTCAAAAGCCTAAATTCAAAAAGATGCCGAAACATAAATATAATCAAGTGGTTTCCTCATCAATAAATTGTTCTTCAAAACTAATGAACTGATTTTTTTTTTTTTTTTTAAATAAGAGTTTTGATAAAGCCATGTGTTGATCATCATCAGATGAGTTTGTTTGCTGTACCTGCAGAAAGTGAATGTGGTCTTCAGTGGTCAAGAACTGATCGAGCTCAGACACCTTCATCCTGAGGTCAGAGATCTTCTGCTGGACTTTCTCCTGAAGTCCTTCAATGCGACTGAGTTCATCTCTCTGTTGCTCTGCGATCAGCTCTTTCACGTGGACGCTTGTTTTCTGAACGGAGCACAGCGCTTCACTGAAGATCCGCTCGCTTTCAGAGACAGCCGTCTGCGCTGAACACTGTTCCACAGCAAGAACATCCACAAACAACACTCTTCAATTACCACATCATTGTTTCTCATAGACTAACAAATGCTTCTCAGATGTTTCTTCTGAAACAGATGTCTCCTGAGGAGATGAAAGGAGCCGTGCAATCAATACTCACTGTGACGGACTCCTCTGCCTGCTTTAGCTCTTTGAAATCCTTCTCTCTGTCTTGAATGTTCTGCAGAAACTTCTCACGTGTTTCCATTAACTTCATCTGGCCACAGAAAATAGCAAATAAAACTTGTAAGACATGTATGACAGAATTTTCCATTTTTGGCGAACTATCCCTTTAACACTGAACATTCTCAGAACATTCTGGAAAGGTTCTCTCAAAGTTAAAAATTGTTCCAGTAAAGTTAATAGAAAGTTACCCGGCCTTTTATAATGTTCTCAAAACATTAGCACAAAAACATTATTTAAACATTGCTCAGGCAACGTCAACATTTTATTTAGATGTTCATCATATTTTTCAAAAGTTACTACATTGTTTACAGTACATTTAAAAGTAATGCTCTCTGATCTTTATGTTAACAAAACGTTAGCACAAAAACATTGTTCATGGAACGTTTTTCTGAAACATTTGAGTTCGGCTTTCATCTCATGTTCTTTAAAAGTTACTAAGTAATTACTATTTATTTCAGAATGTTCAGAGAACATTAAGTAACGTTCCCATAATGTTTGCAAATTGATATAAAACTGAACAGTCACTTAATGTTTTTCTAACATTCACATAATCAAGAAAAATACGTTAAAAAAAAAAATGCACATTTTGAACGTTCTGAGAAAATAACGTTTTCGTGAAATTTATTTTTTTTAGTTGGGTAGATTGTCCAGTCCGGTCTCATGAAAATGTGTATAAATAGTACGCCAAATAAAAACATAAAATCGTGGTATTGATACGCAAAAATGGACTTTGGCGTGCATGATACACACGTGTTTGGCGTGCATGTAATACGCAGCTTTCGCGTGCATATGATACGCATCTACCCCACAAACCTAATTCTACCCATTTCGTATCATATGCACGCCAAAGTCAATTTCTGCGTATAAACAGTACGCCAAATCGAAACAAACTCGTGCAACTGATACGCACTTTCATGAGATCGGGTTGGATTGTCAGTTATCAATCAGTGAGGATCTACCTGTCTGTCTGCTCTTTCCTCAGAAGCTGAGACGCTGTCGTGGTTCTTGTGTTCATTTATAGCACACAGCAGACAGACACACTTCTGATCAGTGCGACAGAAGACATCCATCAGTTCCCTTTCATGGGAACGAGACACTGCGTCCTCTAGGGGTCGCTATGGGGAACGCCTCGTCGTGACCCGTGTCTGAAGCATACATTGAAAAAACACCAACTCGTTGGCCGGCGACAGCCATGACGTCACTACCGGTGCGACTATAGTGAAGAGAGCAGGTTTTGCTCTGAAGATCCATGGCTTCGGTCAGCAGGTGTTTCTTCCATCCGTGGAGATCATTGTGCTTCTCCAGGTGATTTCTGCAGAATGAGGAGACACAGGTGAGGCAGGATTGCACAGCTTTGGTTCTTCTGGAGGTGCAGGAATCACAGCTGACTTCATGTGCTTCAGCATCTTCATCATCTTCCTCCTTTGGTCTCATCTTCAACAGTTTCTCAGAAAGCTCCTTCATCTGCAGCCAGTCAGTGACAACAGGTTTGTTGGGAAAGGTTTGTTTGCACTGAGGACATCTGCGCACATCTTTATACCACAAACCTGTAATGCAGTCCTTACAGAAAATGTGCCCACAGGGAATAATCGCTGGATTTTTAAAGAAATCCAGACAGACGCAACACCTGAGATCGTCGCGATCGTCCGCCATATTTTGGATTGGAACACCTGTGTTCTGTCGAAGTCTTCCCCCTGTGACAGAACAGAAACTAAACTCTGACGCGTAAGTTTCGTTTGTTTGGAAACAGTGACTCTATGGAGTCAAAACAATGCCACATACACTTGCAAAAGAATTGAAGTATTGCAAAAGAAAAAAATTGCAAACGAAAATGAAGGTATTGAGAAAAAATAAATGCGCATTTTGCAAACAAAAATAAAGAATTGCAAAATATAAATGAAACAGAGCAAAAGCAATGATTTTGCTACACATATTTTCCATGGCCACAGCTACTAATTTATTTGCAACGCTGCGTTTCAGTCAAGTGTGAGCTTGCGATACCGTTTTTCCCTTCGCGCTTCACGTTTCTGCGCGTTTCACTTTATGGCATTGTTTTGACTCCATAGAGTGACTCCGCTACAGGAGTGGCTTGTTTTAGAACTCTGTTTTTCTTTCATTTTTATGCACCACTCTCTGTGTGGACTGTCAATCTCTATAATACGGTTGGGAAACAAATCTATTTTCCTCATGACAAGCGAATATTTGAAGAATACCCAACGCGAAATGAAGTTCTCGTACGAAAGCGTTTGGTTACGCACGTTATTTCAAGGAAATGTTCAGTTTCCAAAAATATTCCATATAGACGAAACTAGAACACAACATTAGGATATTTATATAGGTTACAAAAACGTTTCTTACAACATTCTACTAAATATACCCAATATATAATGTTATTTTAACGTTTAGTTTTAATATTCTAAGAACATTAAAATCTCCAGTTTTCTTGTCATGATTATAACGCCATTCATAGGTTACAAAAACGTTTCTTAGAAAGTTCATTAAGTACAAATAACATTATAAAGACATATTGAGAATGTTGATCTAAGAACATTTTCTCTCAACATTATGAGAATGTATATCAAATATTAATGAAGTTATAAGAACGTTCCATAAAAAATATTTTAAGAATGTTTTGTCCTAATATTTATAACTATTAAAAATGTTAGCTGCGGCAGTATCGTGTGTTTCCAGTAGTTGGACGCATTGTCTTGCAGTTGATTGTAAATAAAAAAGCACCCAAAATGCTTTCGTTAAATGAAGTTAATATATGTTTGTCATGTCCTTTAATTTTAGTATAAATGTAGTTGGTGTCCCCTTATTTGGATTTACGGTGTTATCTGAAAGTCCGTTTTGGCGGAATGTTATCTGAAAAACAAGAGCTAAGTTTGAAGTTTATGTGAAGTTTATTGAAAAGTCTATTGAGTCTATGGAAAAACCCAAAAAGAAAGCTTTATACATACAAAACAAACATAACAACAACAAAAAATCTTTGTCACTGTGCAAAACATTTCTAAGAGTTTTTTTTTTTGCAGATAGTAGTGTTTACATTATTAATACAAAGAAAAGTAAATATAAGTTTTTATGACTTTAGCATGTCAACGCTCTTATCTTCAAACCTCCTTCAATAGCTAGATTTTAATCTCATTCTGTCTTGCAGTGTTATCATTGTTCAAACATTAATATTAAGATTTTCAGTTGTCAGCGTGACCTCTGAAACAGTTATTAGACAGAAACAGCTTTACTTTTCAGATCGCTGCATGAACTCTGACATGCGACACTGACAGTCTGTTAAGGTTTTTGAGAAGGAATCTGCCAGATCCGGAGTCTTAAACTTGGCAGCAAACTGCTGAACTACAGCATCTCCATCTGTGGGAAATATGAGCACAATATGAGTAACTTAACTGACAAACAAGATGTAAATCTGTGGAGGTTTTGCAGTTTCTACCTGAGTAGTCTTCTGCTGTCCAGGACCGTGCGTTTGCATTGCTCATAGGTTTAGGATGAGTGGTTCTGGTAATGCAGTGGTTGACAAGCACCTTTTTATCCCCCTCTTGACACATAAACACACGGTAGCGCTTCTTCACGGGATGGAAAAGCATCTTAATGTCTCCTGCACCACAGGATTTCCACTTGTTAATATCACAGTCCCAGAGGAAAAGTTCGGTCCATTCGTTGAACAAAATCTCCTCTTCATTCTCCTCAACCGATGGAAGTTCCACCTTGACAGAAGCAATGACATGATGAAAATATAAAAGGAAAATTAAGAAAAACGAAATGTCGGTTTGGTAGAGTTCCAAGGTTAGTTCAAAGAGTGATAAGGGATCTGTGGAAAAGTTTAGAGAAAAACAGTCTAGAAAATGTAAAAATAAATAATACTAGAAAATAAGATCAAACTAATGAACTAAATAAATAAATGAATACATTTTATTAAAATAAATTGATTAAAATCTATTTAATTTTATTTGAAGATAATAATGAAAGATAATTTTATATTTGAATTAATAAAAAAATTGATTAAAATAAAATCTAAATAAATCATGAATAACTAAATAAAAACATTTCATTAAAATAAATAATTTTGAAATAGTGAAAATATAAAAAAATAAATGTAAAAAATATTTAAATAAATAATATATCTAGCAGTACAGTACTATAGTCAGTATAAAAATGCAATGATGTAACATAACAGAAAATAAATATTTGATATTAATATTTTATGCATATTTAAAATATAATTTTTTTTACAGCATGAACTGGGTTTTTTGGGTGAAATTGGGTCACTTGCACAAGGATTATCAAATGTGTACATGAAAAACTTATTATTGGTTATAATTTCTGTATATTACAGAGAAACAATTAACCAAAAACAATGTATGACTTCTACAACATTTCAAGAATTGTCAAGAATTGTCAAGAATTGTCAATGCACTTTTACACAGACAAACATAAAATGCTGCTTCTAGCAGGGAAGTGATTGGATATCTACATGATTAACCTCTTCATCATCATCATCATCATCATCATTGTTCTCTTCCTCTTCGTGATTTTGTGTCTCTGTTGCAGCTCCAGCATCTATAAAAATAAACAAAGATAAAGTTATCCATAACAGCATTATTAGCAGTATTAAGGCAAACTGGAGCATGTTATTTCTCTCACTGTCTTTAAACCAATCTCAGTAAAAACAAGCAATTAATTAATCTCAGTGCAACCTACCATGACCATCGACTGCATCAGGATACAACTTTCCTTTAAGAGATCTGACAGCCACTTCAAAATCTTCATCTAAGTGAGAGAAACACAGCTTAGAGGTAAACACGGCTCTGCAGAGCAATCATGATTTGAGCTGTGGTGCATAAAGAGCCAATAAACCAGAAGACAGTGTGTTTCTGTTGGGTATCGTTTGAATTTGATCAATTCCGATTCTGATTCTTATCGATTCGCAGTTTCGATTCCAATGTGGTTAAAAAATTGTAAATGAAGTCAAACATTTCGATATCAAACCTATTTATTCTATGTCTCTTTTCGCAAAACATTTAATTGCTGCTGAATACCATGAACAAAAATCAGCCGGCAACATAAAAACTGGACTCAATTAAGAGCTGCACGATTCTGGATAAATTGAGACTTTTTTGTTAAATGGAGGTTGTAGTTCTCACAATTCTGAAGAAAAAACGTTTCGATTCCAATGTGGTTAAAAAATTGTAAATGAAGTCAAACATTTCGATATCAAACCTATTTATTCTGTCTCTTTTCGCAAAACATTTAATTGCTGCTGAATACCATGAACAAAAATCAGCCGGCAACATAAAAACTGGACTCAATTAAGAGCTGCACGATTCTGGATAAATTGAGACTTTTTTGTTAAATGGAGGTTGTAGTTCTCACAATTCTGAAGAAAAAACAGACAAGTTAACAGAATCTCATGGGATTTATGAATGGAATGATTCAATGACTCACTACTTCTTGTTTCTATCTACTTGTTTCATTACTGGATGAATCAGTGTTTTTGAATGAATCTCTTGAATGAATGATACAAAGACAAATACACTTTTAACAGCCCCTTTTCACCACCTAAAAAAAAAAAGATGTGCACACAGGAATTGATATAGGTGGAATTTAAATTTAAATTTTACAATGAGTATCCGATTCCTGACCTTAAGTAACCGATTCTGGAATTGGAATTGATTTTCGATTCCCAACCCTATGTATTTCCATGCGCTAGTTAACGTTTAGCTTCCGCAGACAGTATTTATGTTTTTTTCCCAAGTAATCTAAATACTGTGCTTTACATGGTAACATCTAAACTGACTGGTTTCATGCAAGTCAGAAATGTAATTTAATTTGATTATATCAACCTGACAAATGAAAAAAACAGAAGTATTTTTTGTAGGTTAGATCAGCTAAATAGACCCTTCATATTTCTCACCATCATCATCCTCATCACTTGCGTATCCCGGCTCGTTTCTGTAACAGAAGAACGTGTGAGGAAGCATCAGTCTGGCTACCAGTTTGGCTTGTTCTGCTGTGGGTTTTCGGTCAAACACGATCTCAACATCAGCATCACTCTGCTCCGGAGTGCTCTTCTCTTCTGATTGAGAAAACAAACACATTACAGTTTATTAAAAACATCAGAGAATAATCATATTACGTTTTATTGATAAAATGACTGAACTTGCGCAGTTCATGTCTCACAATTCAGCGCTCATATCTCACAATTCAGCGTTCATATTTTGCAATTCTGCATTCATATCTTGCAATTCAGCACTCATATTTTGCAATTCAGCGCTCATATCTCACAATTCAGTGCTCATATCTCGAAGTTCAGCGTTCATATCTCGTAATTCAGCGCTCAAAAATCACAATTCAGCATTCATATCTCGCAATTAAGCGCTCAAATCTCGTAATTCAGCACTCATATCCTGCAATTCAGCACTCATATCTCGCAATTCAGTGCTCATATCTCGCAATTCAGTGCTCATATCTCGTAATTCAGCGCTCAAAAATCACAATTCAGCATTCATATCTCGCAATTCAGCGATCAAATCGTGCAATTCAGCATTTATATCTCGCATTTCAGTGCTCAAATCGTGCAATTCAGCATTTATATCTCGCAATTCAGCGCTCATATCTCGCAATTCAGTGCTCAAATCTCGCAATTCAGCATTCATATCTCGCAATTCAGCGATCAAATCGTGCAATTCATCATTTATATCTCGCAATTCAGTGCTCAAATCGTGCAATTCAGCATTTATATCTCGCAATTCAGTGCTCAAATCTTGTAACTCAGCTCTCATATCTCGCAATTCTGCATTCATATCTTGCAATTTGGCATTCATAAATCTCGCAATTCTGCATTCATATCTCGCAATTCCGTGCTCAAATCTCACAATTCAGCATTCATATCTCGCAATTCAGCACTCATATTTCGCAATTCAGCGCTCATATTTTGCAATTCAGTGCTCATATCTCGCAATTCAGTGCTCATATCTCGTAATTCAGCGCTCAAAAATCACAATTCAGCATTCATATCTCGCAATTCAGCGATCAAATCGTGCAATTCATCATTTATATCTCGCAATTCAGTGCTCAAATCGTGCAATTCAGCATTTATATCTCGCAATTCAGTGCTCAAATCTTGTAACTCAGCTCTCATATCTCGCAATTCTGCATTCATATCTTGCAATTTGGCATTCATAAATCTCGCAATTCTGCATTCATATCTCGCAATTCCGTGCTCAAATCTCACAATTCAGCATTCATATCTCGCAATTCAGCGATCAAATCGTGCAATTCATCATTTATATCTCGCAATTCAGTGCTCAAATCGTGCAATTCAGCATTTATATCTCGCAATTCAGTGCTCAAATCGTGCAATTCAGCATTTATATCTCGCATTTCAGTGCTCAAATCGTGCAATTCAGCATTTATATCTCGCATTTCAGTGCTCAAATCGTGCAATTCAGCATTTATATCTCGCAATTCAGTGCTCAAAGCTTGTAACTCAGCTCTCATATCTCGCAATTCTGCATTCATATCTTGCAATTTGGCATTCATAAATCTCGCAATTCTGCATTCATATCTCGCAATTCCGTGCTCAAATCTCACAATTCAGCATTCATATCTCGCAATTCAGCGATCAAATCGTGCAATTCATCATTTATATCTCGCAATTCAGTGCTCAAATCGTGCAATTCAGCATTTATATCTCGCAATTCAGCGCTCATATCTCGCAATTCAGTGCTCAAATCTCGCAATTCAGCATTCATATCTCGCAATTCAGCGCTCAAATCTCAAAATTCAGCATTCATATCTCACAATTCCGTGCTCAAATCTCACAATTCAGCATTCATATCTCGCAATTCAGCGCTCATATCTCACAATTCAGCATTCATATCTCGCAATTCAG